TTGCCTTTCTTGTTTACTTCTCTGATTCTGATCTGAGGTGGCAATGAGATCTGGCTGAACTATAAGGACCAGCCCAAGATGCTTCGAATCCTGGAGAGCATTAAAATGATCCTGAATAAGGACGACTTGTCTGAGATTCAAGCGGAGAATCGTGTGGTTGCCAACTTAGCGAAACAGTTCAGCGCGAAGCTCTGCATAAGCGACACTGCGGTGAGAAGGCCGGGAACGTCTGAAGTCCAGAAGGGTCAGCTGAAAAGGCAGAATGCGAAGTTTTTCTGCTGATTGCTATGATGTGTACAGACTTAGAAATGTGCTGGCAGTGTTGGGGTAGTCGCTGTCGCAGTTGTCTATAGGAAAGCAAGGCAGCCTGGCCAGCTTTAATTATGTATCTGTCAATCAGAAAGTGCCGTCGCTGCATGTCCAGTGACTGCCGCGTTCAACTTCAAGGATTGTGCTGGAGGCTTTAAAACCAGGATGCACAGCAGCAGTCGCAGTCATGCTTGTCATTGGCATTGGGGTAGTATTCCAAATCTGGCCAAAGATCTCCGGGTAGTTGAGAGGTACATCTGCTCATCTTGACATTGCGATGCCCAGACTGAGGTGTTTTCGTGAAGCTACTACGACCCTTCAGCTACTTTTCCGATTGCAGTGCGTCACAGCAGCTGACTTGGTTGTGCACGGTGTCTGTGATACTTGGAGACATGTCCTTGCTTCGCAGCTTCAGAAGTTTCTGTATGTGATTGCAGATTCTTGGCTTCTGACCTTGAGGCGGTCGTAGTCGTAGTCGCTGTCGCGGTCTCCTGTCCTGTGGAATGGCTACTTTGGGAGAGCTGATTCAGTTGGCGGACAAGCACCCGTACAGTTCCAATGCGCTCGAGATTATGCGTGTCATGCAGCCTGTGGCCGCTTGGCTGCATGCTTTCTTGAGGTGTTCTGAGCGACAGGCGGTGTTTGACTGGCATCCCAGTTGAGGAATTGCTGCTCGCTAAGGTCGCAGAGCGAATGTTGCTAGTGCTGAAAAA